GCTGCGTTTGAGTAAGAGGGAGTTACTTGTGAAAATCGTAGGATTGAATGAGTTAGCTTACCTACTGTATATGTCGAACTGTCTAAAAACAATACCATAGGAATTTAGCGTATTTGTTTGTAGAACTGTTCTTAAAAAGGAAAATAGTGGACTTCACAAGTCATGTTTAGCAGTTATACAGTAGTCGCTTAGGATCATGCATCGTTCATGACAAACTTTGGCTTGGTACCTTAGCATATATTTGTTAACACTATTGTGATTTATTGAGTTCATTTCATTCTGCAAAAGCGTTTCTTTAGGAAAATGACCGTTTTTGTTAGATTTATTAAGAGAAGTGGACGTTAATTTTCGCGGAAATGGGAGGTGTGTCATATCGAAGGAATTACATATGCTATTACGTATGACAGTAGCAAACTTTTTATTAACGTGCATTATACTATGGAGGAACTCCAACATAAGCAAAAAAAGGTATGAAACATATCTTTTGCAGAACCGGAAAATGTTGTCCAAAATTGTTCGGATGGAAGTGAGTTCAGGTTGAAGGTATCGCATTTTCTTTCAGAAAAAAGGAAGAATTCAAATTTTAAATATTTTTTGCTATTCTGTGAAGTTTTGTGCACAAAATGCAATAATACATTGGTATGACAAATATGTTTTACTATCCCGATAACTATGAGCGTAAGCTTCATAAAGAAACAGGAATGCGCGGTATACGCTCACTTTTCGGTGTTGGGCTGCATCGTAGAGATGTCAAGTCAAGTTGATTTTGTCCTTTTACGAAAAATGGCGGCCGAAGGGCTGCCGTGCAATTCCTTAGCTAATATGTTGATATAAGCAAGGCGACCATACGCAGAATTATTAACGGTAAAACAGTGCCCAGAAGGAAGAATCCTGGACCAAAACGATCTACAACAGAACAGGATGATGAAAAACAATATCAGTAGTTCCGTCTACGTCAACATTGTCAGAGATGCATTTAGTTATAATGACATCCAAAGGCGTCGAATGGATACTATCATACTACAAAACAACGCCCCTGCTCACCGATAAAGAAGGTATGAATTTAATCTACCTTACGACTATAATCTAATTTTTTAAGACTACAGCCAGCCTTTCTGCATGCGGCCTGCGAACAATTTTCATTCCGTCCAATAGTTCCGACCTTAATCTAATTGAAAATCCGTTCGCCTTAGTCAAGCGAAACTGGCACCAGCCTCTGAAATACCTTTCAACGGTAAATAAATTGGAGTTCGTTCTTAATAATTATATAGACCAAACCGTCATTGACAACATTGTTCTATCTATGCCTGCCCGAAATGATGCTGATATAAAGGCTAAAGAATATTCAACAAAATATTAGTACGTTGTATATTTAGTACTTTTCCTCATTTTGTATTTTATCCTATTTTATTACACTTTGTTATTTATATAACGACTTTTTATCCCCGACCTGTCCTTCAGCCCTTTTTTGGATTTGACAGTCTTCCGTAAAACATATTAGTTCTTAGATAATAAAGGATACTTCATACATCGAAATATGCCTCCTTTTAATGATTTTTCTTTCCTTCCACGCAGTATAACTTTGGGTCCGTTAGGTAAACGCCTTGCGAGCTACGACGGTTTTCATGCAGACTTGACATTGTTGCGTGACCAGTGGCGACTACTGTATATTAATATTATTTATCTGTTTATTTCATAGTTCCTCAGCTGTTAAATGGCAACGACAGTGCCAACGTAACAAATAAATATCACTTGTCTTCAAATGGATAGGTTGCACGTTAGTATGCATTTTCTTCTTAACCCTTATTGGCCATAAGTTTAACGAGACAGAAATACTGGAGGAAGTTTTGAATGAACATGTGCAAAAGTTCAGACTTTTGTGTATCTGAAGGAAAGTTTCCAAGAAATCTAATACAGGCACTTGTTCAATGTTGATCTAAATACAGACATTCGCAGTCATTTACTTACCCTAGATTTAGAGGTTTGTGGAATTCCTAAAAAATAATATTAATCAAAATGCTATACTCAAAAAAAATTTAAGGTAACTAAGTGTCTCATTCATTACATATATTTTGATGTCGTTGGTTTAGACAACTCACCATGTTATGATGCAAAACCTTATAATCTACACAACATGCCTGTTTTTATGTGCGTTTTGTAACGCTTCTTTACAATGGAAGTGGTGCCAAATAAATATTATGTCTGGACTTGTTTATTTCAAGAATTCTTGTCCTGTGAAAGGACTTAGAGCAGCATTTTCAACTGCTGTATGCGTAATTAATCCAAACCGTAGTATCTGAGAAGGGCTATGCCAATTACCGGCTTTCAATACAGAAAAACAGACGATTCCAACAGATTTCAACGTACCTGAAGGCTATTACCCCGTAAGGGAAATGCCAATATGTGAAAGGTAATGATGGGTGTGAAAGTAGTACCAACCGAGGAACCTGAGATCTGGGTGTGTTCGTTTCAAAATACCTCAGTTTTTTATGAAGCAAATGCGCTAAACATCACAAACTCTTGACAGACGGAAAATTCTAGAAACGAAAACATAGGTTCCAAAACACGGCACGCGCGGTTAATCTTTAAGTCTGATTTCAGTCGCATGACTTCGTTCTAGGAACGGTATGCCCTATTTATGGCGGGACGGCATGAGTGAGAAATGTGGCATAGATCAGCCCAGATTGTGGCCAGACACCTGACAGTTATTCAATCAAAATGTAGCAAAAAGGCCAAATGCTGGAAAATGAAGGCCACAAAGTGCTAGACAAAGCAAACGTGTCATCGTTATTCAGCGGCGACTAGAACAGGAGACAATATACGGCTGGAGATTAAAGCAGAGTCAAATAAAGTGACCTTATCTGTAGAATTTGTAAAAAGCCAATCCAAATAAAAAAACATCTCTACGAAATAAGGCGAATTGAAATTACACGAAGAAGTACCAAAATGGAAGTGGAAATTTAAGGCGAACATTGAGCAGAGTATATTTTTATGAAAAGCCATTCAAAGATTAAATGAAAACTTAAGGATAAAACGTAAGTATGAAGTCGTTGCAACCAGAACGGATACTGTATAGATTTCCCTACAACAATTAGGATATCATTCTCTGACACCGATGCTTAAACAAAATCAAACCCTAACATAAGAATTTAGACACTCTCACCATTTTCTGTGAGGTGGCCGATATCCATGCAGTCAGCAAATATGCTACACCGACAATCTGTAATGATACTTGCTTGGACCTTGATCTTTGAAATAAATCTCATTTCTACTCACTGCTTTGAGGCTGTCAGTCAGCCCCTAGTCCCATTTCTATCTCTTGTTATTTGTCGTTTCAACGTTTCATGCCTTCTCCTGCCGCATATGACTATACAAACACAATTATGACTAAAAGAGCATCCGTTTGATCACCTTAAACACCGAAACTTTTAGGTAATCGTTGATAATTTGTGTGAACTGACCAAGAGTCACACAATAGAAGAGCATTTTAGGCCTAACAAATGGCCTAAGAAAGATGAGCATGGTGACGTCTATAAAATTGGCCTATTTGATTTCGATAACAAGAAAAATACGTAAAACGAACACACAAACTATGGTAAATTGGCGATTGCCGGGCGGCACTCCTCCCCTTCTGGTGTTGACCTTCGACGTCTACCAGCAGCCCTCAGTGGTTAGTATTATAGGCAGATGAAAATCACCGACAAAGAAAAAAAGAAGACAGATTTATAAGTAGATGTGATCACTGGAACTAAGAATTTATTTGCCTGGTGTTTTTGATTCTGTCTGTAAAACCTTCATCAGAGATAACCACAGACAACGTTGTTGCACTCACAGCTAAGGCAGTATTTATATTCTGTAGCGGCTACGCGACCGTATGCATACTAAAATTAGTGGCTCCTGTGATCATCGCTTGGGATCATGGTAAATGCTACGGTAGTCTGGCCTGGCAGTCCGATGTCGAGTCATTAGTTACGGCAATTTCCTTATACTTTTTGGATGTTGTCTTAACAATTACGCGGCAATTAGTTTCACTG